ATATATATAATCATTTTATTTGAAAAGCGCATTTCAAGACACCCAAGGACACTTACAGCATTATATCATCATAGAAGAATGTGTGAAATTACAGAGACAAGCTGGCATTAGTTACAGAGCATAGATTACAAATGAAGTTAAAATGGATATGCTAATCTAAAGAGATGCATTTTCAAAGCAGTCTTGAACACAGGAAGAGTGGTGGTGTTTCTTAGGTCAGGTGGTAGAGAGTTCCAGAGAAGAGGTGTAGAACAGTTGAAGGCCCTGCTCCCCATGGTGGAGAGGCAGGCAGTGGGTACTTGGAGGTTCAGGGAAGAAGAGGATCTGAGAGAGCGGGAGGGGATGGAGATGTGTACGAGGTYGRACATGTAAGGAGGGGCAAGATGGTGGATAGCTTTGAACGTGAGAAGAAGAATTTTGAAGACGATGCGTTATTTGACCGCGAGCCAGTGGAGCTGCTGCAGAACTGGGGTGATGTGGTTATGGGAGGAGGTTTGGGTGATGACACGTGCAGCCAAGTTCTGGACCATCTAAAGCTTATGGAGGGATTTGTTGGGGAGGCCAAAAAGAAGAGAGTTACAGTAGTCAATCTGTGAGGTCACACGACTGTGGACAAGGATGGCTGTGGTGCAGGGTTTGAGAGAAGGAAGGAGATGGTTGATATTTCTGAGGTGGAAGTAGGCAGACTGAGTAACATTACTGATGTGAGCAGTGAAGGAGAGAGAGTGGTGTCGAGGATGACACCAAGACTCTTGACCTGTGGGGAGGGGGGTTAGCAGAGAGTTGTTGATAGGGATGAGGAGATTATTAGATTTTGAGATTGAATTTGTAGTGCCGACAAGGATGATTTCTGTTTTATCACTATTCAGCTGAAGGAAATTGTCTGAAAACCAGTGATTGAGTTCATCGAGACAGTCAGTGAGGATGGAGGGAGGGTGTGTGGAGTGTAGGGGTCACCTCGAGTCAAATTATCAAGGAACTATCTTGGACTCTCAGTCCTCTGATGGGCCTTCAAATGGACAAAAACTCTGTTCCACTTAGAACTATATTTAGGCCACCTCAGGTCGCTTTAACCTCAAAGAGACATTTACTTTCCTTCTAAATCAGAAAATAAACAGGAAAATCTTTTCTTATTTAATTTATTGTTCTCTTAACTGAAAGTATGACACATTTTGATAATCAGATAATGTTTATCAAAGTTACAGGAGAAGAGAGGACAGATCTCTTTNCCCCATGGTGGCGAGGCAGGCAGTGGGTACTTGGAGGTTTAGGGAAGAAGAGGATCTGAGAGAGCGGGAGGGGATGGAGATGTGTACGAGGTTGGACATGTAAGGAGGGGCAAGATGGTGGATAGCTTTGAACGTGAGAAGAAGAATTTTGAAGACGATGCGTGATTTGACCGGGAGCCAGTGGAGCTGCTGCAGAACAGGGGTGATGTGGTTATGGGAGGAGGTTTGGGTGAAGACACGTGCAGCCGAGTTCTGGGCCATCTGAAGCTTATGGAGGGATTTGTTGGGGAGGCCAAAAAGAAGAGAGTTACAGTAGTCAATCTGTGAGGTCACACGACTGTGGACAAGGATGGCTGTGGCGCAGGGTGTGAGAGAAGGAAGGAGATGGTTGATATTTCTGAGGTGGAAGTAGGCAGACTGAGTAACATTACTGATGTGAGCAGTGAAGGAGAGAGTGGTGTTGAGGATGACACCAAGACTCTTGACCTGAGGGGTGGGGGTTAACAGAGAGTTGTTGAAAGGAATGAGACTATTAGATTTTAAGATGGAATTTTTAGTGCCGACAAGGATGATTTCTGTTTTATCACTATTCAGCTGAAGGAAATTGTCTGAAAACCAGTGATTGAGTTCATTGAGAGAGTGCATTGTTTGATAGAAGAAAATTTAAGATTGATACTGAAAGAGAGCAACAGGTGATCAATAAATGGAAGTTCAGCAGAGGTACAGTTAAGAGGAGTGAGTCCTGAGCAGCAAAGCAGGTCCAAGGTGTGACCCTTTATGTGGGTGGGAAAGTTGATGAATTGCTGGAAACCACAGCTGTCAAGGTAGGATGAAGAGTCTCTGGTGAGGGGGTTATTGTCTTCATGCATATGTACGTTGAAGTTTCCCAGCAGGATGATGTTTGGTGAAAGAGCTGTGAGATGAGCGAGTAGAGCAGTAAAGTCATGTAAAAAAGAGTGGTTTTGTTTGGGTTGGCGATAAATGGTGGCAACAATGGTGGGGGTAGGGCCAGAGAGTAGACACACAGTCTGTTCAAAAGAGGTGAAAAGAGGTGTGTGGACTGGCGAGACCTTCCAGTTCTCACGGTCAATTATTGCGAGACCTCCTCAGTGGCCGAACTCGCGGGATTTGGCCATGTAAACAAATCCGGGTGGTGTAGACTCATTCAGATGAAAAAAGTCATTCTATTGTTGCCACGTTTCCATTAGACAAATAAAGTCAAGTTTGCGGTCAGAAATAAGATCTTGAACAAGCTGACCTTTGCCTGTGAGAGAGCGAACGTTCAGAAGACCAAAGTTAACGGTGCAGGAGTTGGTGGCGACTGGCACATTAGCATTAGCCAGTTGAGCTGGGCTAGCTAACGAGGAGCTGTTAGCGGCCCGTGTATTGCGGCGTGAGGAACGGTGGGAGTCAGACCAGTTGGAAATGATGGGATTGGTCTTGTCGGAGCTGATTCTGCGACGGGAGCCACGGTGAATGTATCTCCGTCCAGGATGGAAGGCGATGTCCTGTGGAAGCAGAGGTGGTGCGGCCGGCAGGAATTGGAGGCGCAAGAGGTCAGCTGCTGTGTAGTGGAGGAGACCAGATGCTGGGTGGTGGAGAATGATCAGCTGGAGGATCCAGGCCAGAGCAGGCAATAGGTAAATCTGAGTAATCCACATGTTGGTAGTGAGGCAAAGCAGTGTGGGAACGCCAGGGTAGGGATGCGTGAAAAAGTCCATAAAAAGTGAAAAAGCTAAGAGTCACAACGAGCAGCGGCAGCAGGTGTGCGCCAGCATTCACTCGCTGGAAGTCGAGTAGTAGCGTGACATTTATTAAGAATAAAGACTTCTGAGTTCCGGTGCATTTCTGCGTGTGGGGGTCATTATGTTACCACTATGCGGTATCTAGTTTTATTATAAAGTGTATCACTAACTGTTACTTGGTTGTATTGCGAGACATTTTTGCTTTCTTTGTGTTTCTTTCTGGTCTCAAGAGGATTATGTAACATTTGGGTTCAAACAGTGCCAGCAAGAGGCCAAAAATGGAAGCCAGGATGACAAACACTTCCA